TGTCCGAAATGAAGAAGAAAGTTTGCCGCCGGCCGCTTCTTTAATAAAAATTGAGTGTAAGGAATTCAATGTCTAAAAAAATTCAGTGTTTAAAATTCGGTGTTAAAAAAAAGGTAGATTCCAATGAGACTGTTTTTCTTCCATACTTTGTAGAGTTGCAATGATACAACACTAACATGGTGGTATCGTATCGGCGAGTACCAACAAATAGAGCACCGATACCATTTTGAGAGCCAAAAGTTTATTCAACTATTGTTGCCATTGCAGGTAGGCAATAAAAGGTTCTACTAGATTCACTTTGTATTCCTGCTTAACAAAGGAAGGCAGCAGCTTGACAAAGCCATGATGGCATTTATTTTACATCCAGGTAGTATGCAGTTCTTCAGATGGTATGGTATCGGGGCCAAAAAATTGGCCTAACACTACTTCTTTGAGAGAAGATGTTGTGTCGTGGAATAAATAAAAGATTAGATGAGCTTTATTCATCTCACAGCAGAGAAATTCATTGGTCACATATTGGCATAATAATTAAAGAAGGTTCAAACAAGGAGAAAAAAAGGTGCATTAAGAATAAACAATATGTATACAGTATATCAAGATAAATAAGGATTAAGGTGAAAGTATACATGTATCACACACATAAATTAACATTTGGAAAATTATTTTGAAGTAAAAGCAGCTCTCAAAAATGTGTTTTTACTCACAGATATTGTTTGCAATCAGATTAAAAACAGTTTCTTTCAAATAATAAATTTTACTCTCATAAGGTTTTTCTTCCCTGTCTCTCAAAGCTTTAAAGAGAGTTTGAGTGTAAAAATCGATTTTTGAGAACTTTTTTCCCTTTGGAAATAATTTTCCAAATGTCCTTTTATCTTTTATTTATGATAAATGATAAAAAAAAAAAAAAAAAAATTCTCTCAAAACATCTTCTACAGTATCAAATAACATCAGTTTTTGCCATCAGTGGGAAATGTTTATTCTAGGATATATTTTTGTTGTAATTTCAAAAATCTTCCCTGCTTCAGATTTCTTTTATTCTTTGAATTTAATAAAAAAAAATACCAAAATAACTCCNATTCTTTGAATTTAATAAAAAAATACCAAAATAACTCCAGAAAAAAAGGCAAAGTTATTCTCCATGTTTTTTTTTCCATAAGTTTTCCAGCTTTTCATGTCTGATTAAATATCTTTCAAATTTGCATTTACAAAACCTGTTCTCTGTTTGCAAAAACAACGGAACAAAATTCACTCCCTATGAGTGTAACGATAAAGAGACTTATATGTAAACCATGCATCATGTTCAGCTTGTCTTTCATAACATAACACAATGTCAAAAGTTTTATAAATACCTTGTGAGGCACTTTATTTGAGCATATTTAATGAATAAACATTTCACCTTCTGTATTCTCTCTGCCACCGACCTTCACCGCTATAGTGCCC